GCCTCTGAGGGGATATTACGAGAAGAATAACGAAGTGCAGTAAACGGAAAATGCAAAATTGTTCATAATTAACATAATACATTAAAATAATATGGTAAGACATACCAGACACATTCAATTTACAAAAATAAGGTGGATAGTGCAGCGCTTCTCTGGTCCAAAACTGGGCCTCAGGTCCGATCTGATGGGTCACAAACAGTTAAAACAATGATAAATGCAGATCATAAAATTCTAACCATTAACCAGTGAACTCACTACATAATGCAATAATAGTGAGCAATGTATGAATAGATAACTAATATAACACCTTATCAACTTTTCAAAAGGAAGAGAAAACACTTCCCAATTCTCATATCTTCTGCTGTTGATGTCAAAGGTTTGTGTCCAAGCAAATGCTACAGTACGTCTGTTACGTGATCACATGGTGAATTTTAACATATCAATATTAATATACATTAAGTCACTATAATCCATTTCTAGGTTAATCTTCCTGAAGAGTCAAACACTGACTCTGAGACATTTTCACAACATTGATCTGTTTGTTTTAGCGGCCCATCATGTTAACTTCTGAATCAACCAATCATGTGAGCTTGGGGCGGGGCTGTCTTTCTGGCTGACCAATGACAAGTGAGGGGGGAGTGTTTGAGAAACCTGTGTAGCGTCTGGACCAATCAGACACACCATTTTTCATTTGATTTAACAAATCAATTATTCATTAGATTAACAAACGTTCACAGACCCCTCACCCAATAAACATACTGGGTGCCAAGTTGTCTGTGAACAAGGCCCAGGACCCTGGTTACCATGGCAACCATGAAGTGTTTATGTAGTGTGTTAGACTAGTTTAAGTGTTTATGTAGTATGTTGGACTAGTTTAAGTGTTTATGTAGTTAATAAAGTCTTACTTGTATCACACTTGACGTTGGTCATTGTTTGCTCATAACTGCAGATTTATGCTACAGGCTCTGTGTAGAGTTGTACAGTAAGAAAGTTATTTCCCTTAACCAGGAAATTAACGTTCTTAGAATTGACAGACAGTTGACTCTGAGAGGTCAAGTAAATATCTACAGTGGATCTAAATATTTATAATTAATTATAACTAGTTATGATTAATTATTCATATTTCCCCATGAATGAGCTGATTCGCTACACCTGTTTTTAAAACAGTCGTTATCTTTGCAATTATGCTGCACTAGTGTTGCGAAATTACACATTTGTGTTGCTTTTGTACGATAAACAGTTTTGGTAATGTGTAAAGTCAAATGTAAAATACAGAACTGAAGCAACACCAGTTGAAATCTCAAAACAGTGGCTGGTTGCATAAACCGCTTAGACTAGTTTTACAAGTTAGTCATTTTGTTTTCACTTTAAGACTAGACATAACTTTAAATCAGTTACATAAAAATGTAGATTGGGCTAATTTGAATCTGAAAAGTAAGACTGATCACTACTGGACTAACTAGCTGGACAGACTAGTTCTTAAAATCATCTGAACCCTCTTCATTTGTGGGTCATACCTGCTACCTTCATGGTTAAAACTTTATTACTTTTTTTTTTTTTTCAGGAAAATCAATTTAATATATTTTTTAGAATTTTGGGAGGATTTTATGATACAATATTAATACAATTTTTATGAGCATATTTCCCATTAATTTCCTATGTCGGGCATTTTTTGACAGCGAAGGTACCAAGTGTTACTTTTTATTTTTCGACCCTTTAACATGTCCGAAGCATGTTCATACTTAAATTGATTGATTAATTAATTGTTATGGGTTCACATACAGTGCCTAATGTGACAAAAGTAACCAAGTTTCATCCCATTCCGATAAAGCAATTTTTTTCCCCATTCGTTTCCTATGTCTGTCATTTTTGACCATGAAGATATCAATTGAAGGTACTTTTTATTTTTCGACCCTTTAACATATCTGTATCATGTCCATGATTTGCAACAAAAGTCACCAAGTGTCATCACATTCCAATGAAGCAAAAAAATTCAAAAAAATTCCAAATGTAACATTTTCCGGTCAAAAGTGACCAAAAAGGCCCAGAGACACAATCTTAACATACTGGCTATGTTTATGAAACTGGACCCAGAATTTGTAACTCTCTCCTGAACTCATCCTATATGATCTTGGATAGGGTTGACCCCCGCGGCCGACCCCTGGTCCCCTCGACTCGCCCCTGATGACTGACCTCTCTGGGCCAGGTAGTCCCGGTAGTTGCGCGTCAGCAGCGTGTAAAGCAGCGGATTGACGCAGCTGTTTCCGTACGTCAGGCAGGTGACGAAGAAGTTGACGTAGGTGTGAGCGGCGGCCGACAGCGAGCGGAGCGACTCGGACGAGAAGAGCTTCGCCATCTGCCAACCCCAGAACGGCAGAAAACACGTCCAGTACGCCACCACGATGCAGAAGATCATTCCCACCACCTTGTGCTTCAGTCGGCGCCTGCGAACGGACGACGAGGATCCGTGAGTCAGGTTAGCCTGGGCGGCCCAGTAATGCCGGGCGAGACCCGTGTAGAGTCCCACCATCAGCAGGCCTGGCAGGAGCATGCTGGTGAAGAAGAGCGCGGTCAGATACGCCTTGAAAGCCTCGGGGGTCCATGTTGGGAAGCAGATGTGTTTGACGAGGCCCATCGTACTGGGACGTCCCTCGCGGAGACGGATCATCACCATCATAGGGAGCGTCAACACGAAGGCTGCCGCCCAGATTCCCAACGCCATCAGCCAGTGATTACGTGTGGTTGAGCGACGGGCTCGGAATGGAGCGGCCACGGCCCGGTAGCGCTCCAGACTCATGGCCACCAGCACAAACACGCTGGCATGCATGGTGAGCAGATCCAGACTCAACAGCAGCCTGCAGCCCATTTCGCCAAAGAACCAGTCGTGGGCGAAGTAGGTGCAGACTACGAACGGGATGGTGCCCAGATAGAGCAGATCCGCCGCCGCCAGGTTGAGGATGAAGACGTACATGGAGCCGGCACGCCGTAACGTGGCCGATCGCATGATGGCGAGGGTGTACAGGTTTCCCGTCATGCCCAAAACGCACATGATGACAAGGGTGGCGCCCAGGAGCGGAGTGACCCAAACTACTCCGCCACTTCCGGCTGCAGTGCTGCCGTTGGGTGAGTTACTCATCGTAAAAAGATCCGGGAGAAATATATCAATTCAAATGTTTCCTATAAAACAGAGCTGTATTGGTATCAATGGTTTCAAGAAGAACCTCTAACATCCATGGAATCTTTCCCTTGCACAAAAGGTTCGTTACAGTGAAGAAAAAAAAAGTGTTCTTCACATGAAGACAAAAATGGTTCTTTTAAGAATTGATCACTGAGAGCTTCCCAAAATCATTATTTTGTGGCATCACTGCTGTTGGACAATCGTAAGAAGATCCGGGAGAAATATATTAATGCAAATGTGTCCTAATAAAACTGAAGCTTTGCACCAAAGGTTCTTTATAGTGGAAAAAGTGTATTAAATGTTCTTCAAGTGAAGACAAAAGTGGTTCTTTTAAGAACTGATAACTGAAAGCTTCCCAAAATCATTCTTTTCTTGCATCACTGCTGTTCGGCGAGGATCTGGAAGAAATCAATTCAAATGCTCCTGTAAAACTGAGCTCTTGTTTCACTTCTTTATTAGCATTGATGGTTCCATGAAGAGCTTTTAACATCCACGGAACTTCTCCAAATGTTCTTTATCGTGGTTCTTTAGATAATTCAAACGTTCTTCAAATGAAAAAAACAGAACTGTTTACTGAAAAGTTCCCAAAACGGTCCTTCTGTGGAATTGCTGTGAAAAACACCTTTTGGAACGTTTAGTTATAAGAATGCTTTTACGGCGGAAAACAGACAGAGAAGCTTCTTCAAACATCACAGCACCAAATGAACACGGAGCAACAGAGTGACAAGTCCTTCTGTAACAAGCCCTAAACATACCCATGATCCAACTCAGGATTGTGGTAAAATAATCCTCCGTTCATGACCACACACATGTTCCTCTGATGCTCTTTGCTGTATCCATGCAGCTCCGAGCGTTTGCCTTCAGCTCTTTGTGTTCGGTTGCTCTATGCGTCTTTGTTTCTGTTGTGTCTGCAGGTTTCTCTGATGTCCGTCTCTTCTCTCTCTTTCTCTCAGGTGGGTGTGATGTGACGTTCAGCGTTTGAGCGTCTCTGAACACCCTGGTGCTGTTTCACACACCCCGATCATGAGCAGCACTCAATAATCTTCCATTCACACTCACGTTCGAACACATGTCCACTAATATCCTCCTCCAGCTCACACGAACAATCACAATCAGACCTCAAACACATGGTTAGATCAGTACTTTATTAAAAAGCTGCACTAAACCCTGAGAGATCATAACACTACAGGAAAAGACAATTCTGTCAAGATTTAGTCGCCCTCATGTTCATGCTTCAGAATCTTCTCTTGCAGTGTAGCTCTGAAATCTCATTTGTGGCCATGTGTGTTTAAATATTCTGATTGAACGGTCATGTGACACACTAGAACCAATGAGATTTGAGAGCTGCAGTAGATTTACAGTGACTTATATTTCAGTCTGTTCGGCACACAAACCATCATATGACAGAAAACCTCAAAAATACAGTGTTTCTTTTTTTTAATCACATCTTGTCATGTTGCAATATTTTTTCCATTAATCTACATATATATATAAACTTAACTTGAAAATCACAAATCTGGTTTTTGCTTTGTCATTATGGGGTATGGAATGTAGATTAATGGAAAAAAGATTGCAACATGACAAGATGTGATAAAAAAATGAATATTTTTGCAAGACACATGATGGATAGTTTTATGACACTTATAAGGTTTTTTGGTCTTTTTTGAGGCTAAATGTGGTCACTATAACCTGTTATTGTATGAAAAAGAGCAGCGTGAACATTCTGCTAAACATCTCATTTTGCAATCCATAGAATAAAGGAAGTTATACAGGTTTGGAACAACATTAGGGTGAATAAATGATGACAGGATGATATTTTTTATATTTTTTGACTGAACTGTCCCTTTAATATGTGAATGAAAGGAGGTTTAGAATTAGAGAGTTGACTTGAAGGGTCAGTGGTTAAATAACTTAATCCCACCACTAGATGGAGCCTTTAATCCTTATAAAAAATCAGATTTTAAAAAACAAGATTTGGTAGCAAACCAGTTTGTGGAAAACGCAGACATGCAAATATAATGTTATGGGGACAAAATACTCTTTGAGTTTCAAGATGTAATGATACAGAATCGTAGTACAGTATACAAACAAATACTTTGTGTAAAACAACTTAAAAACACAAACATCCGAGGCACGTGCTGTGAGATCCGTGGCGGGTCAGCTGCAGAGGTCACAGGTGAAAGGTCAGAGGTCACGCCGAGGGTACATCAGTGTTTGTGTTTGAAGTAGGCCTCCACTGAAAAACACAGCAGCACTCATGTTGTAGTGTTCACACTCGTGTGTGTGTGTGTGTGTGTGTGTGTGTTAGGGGTTGAATGACTTCAGATTTTTTAAAGTCGACATTTATGTGATGAAAGTCGAGTCGAAGTCGACTAGTCGCTGATGACGTCATTAATGAACAAATAAGCCTGGAGCATCGTCGTTATAGGTGTTCCGAAGACTCGAACACCTTGTGCACAGCTATGGCATAAGACACAGTGCTGCTCACATGGCTATTGCTACTATAACAGCTCATTTTTATCAGTTATTTTGCCTTTGGGTAGTTATATTTCTCACATATTTCAGCTCGTTCTTGCATGTGTGTGTGTGTGTGTGTGTGTGTGGTGTTACCTGTGTACTCCTGTGGGCTCATGCGAGTGTTCATGACTGCATTAAAATGGCTCATCCAATCCTTCTGCTCCATATCTGTTTCGCAGGTGAACAGGAAGCTGCGGTCGGGCGTTTCTATGGTGATGCCGTACTGCCACGTCCCGTTGTAGTGGGTTCCGGCGGGGAGTCCGATCGTAACGTGGTATCCGTGATCTCTGTGCCCCAGGAACACCTCGCCTTTAGCAAACGCATCCTGCCAGACACAAGAGAAACTGCTTTCAGATTTGACAAGTTCTCGTTCCTTACTGTTATTTTGGCAAACAGAGGCAAGTTATTTCTTACGATAACGGACATCATGCCACAAAACACATGAAATGTGCTGTATTGTGTATAATTTTCTCATTTCTCAATGCAATTTCTTCATTTAATGTTAATTATTTTATGTAAGAGTAATATCTTATTACTCAAACTATATCCATGTGCTTTTTTCCAATCATCAGCCAGATTTCAGGTTTAAAAGCATGTGAATGTAAAAAAGAAAGTGTGTAGCTTTCGAACTGTAATGATCTTTTGTCTTCACTCATTCATTTAAATTGGTCTTAAGTACAAATATGACAAAACGTCTCTCAATTACTATGGTCATAAAAACGGCACGCACATTAATAATTATTTAAAAAAGAAATCTATATCATATTTTATTTACTGCAATTTACTACAAATATATACCGATTTCTTTACTACCAATTTGTTTATATTTCTTTGTTTATTCATTTTGTTGTTGTTTTTACCAAAAACAAACAAAACAAAACAAAAATTTGGTTGAATTTAACAGAAGCCTTAACTGGTTTATTTGCTAAATATTTGTTTTTTTATTAATTAACATATTTGTGTGTACTCATGATAGTACTGAACTGTATTATTTATGTGTTTATTTTATTATTAATTTAGTTTCATCAAATGTTTATTTTTATTTAAGCTATTTTGATTGGTTACTTATTAATTTTTATTAATAAAAATTCATCGTCTGTTTGATTACGTCATTATCTGAATTTTACCGTCATTATCGGAATTTTACCGTAATTTTACCGTGCAACGAATGCTTCGTTTGTAATGGGTTTTAATGTTTTTGTGTCGTCACTCCGGCTGGGACACGCCATCACAGTATGGTGAGGGGCGTAACATTTCCGTCTCACGCTTGAGGTATTCGGCCAATCACAATGCACTGGATAGCTGGCCAATCACAGCACACCTCGCTTTTTCAGACCGATGAGCTTTGTAAAAATCGACGCGTTTCAGAAAGGCGGGGCATAGAGGAGAAACAATAATGTACAGTATGTGGAAAATAATGTGTTTTTTGAACCTTAAACCGCATAAACACATTTCATTACACCAAATACACAAAATAATGTTCTTTGTAGCAGCATCATATGACCCCTTTAAACACAGTAACACTGCTGATCTCAGAGCAGGTGCTAACACCTGATGACATTTCCCTCTCATCGAACCTGTCTCTCAATCTGACCGTTTCATTACTGGGTTACAGGAGCGACACGAGCAGACGAGAGACGTCTCACCAGAGGATCTCTGAAGTACATCAGCCGCCGGTGATCCAGCGTGAACCAGCGCTTCTTAAAGCCTTCTGTTTGCTGCAGAAACACATCAGACGACACACAAACCAGCTCCATGTCAATCAAAACAGACCTCCTTAATATACCATCCTAGTCTTGTTCATTAATGATGATATTCACTGTATTTATTTGGTATAACGAGCAGGAAAAAGCTGGTCATTCTCACTATATAAACCCGACAGGACGATCAGGAGCAGACGCAGGTTAATAAAATGAACATACATGAGCTCGTATGTATGATATAACAATCTAGTCACAATAAAATCAAAGCCAAGCCTACATTATTTTCTGTTATTCTGTTTAATTTAGAAATGTCACATTGCATTATGAATGCTCTTTCCTGCTGTTGTTAAATACAGTCAAACCAAAAATTATTCAGACACCAGATATAATTTTAGATTTTTTTTTTTCACTTTGTTACATGTACTTACTATTATAATAATAATAAACGATGCATAATTACATGCAAGTAACACTAAGCCAAACCCGCATCCTAACCCTAACCATACAGTAAGTACATGTAGGTAATTAATATTACTCAGTACGTAATGTATAATTACACTGTAATAAAATAAAGTGTATGGCAAGTGTTGTATTTTGTTCGGTTGTGACTTCTGAGAGGAGTTGTTGTGAATAATGGCATGAGCGCTTCGTGTGTGTGTGTGTGTGTGTGTATGAGTGTGTGTGTGTGTGTGTGTGTGTCTCTACGGCTCACTCTGCTGCTGTCGTGGTAGATGAAGATGTTTCGTGTGATGTTGTCTCTCAGGTAGGTGATCTGCAGGCCGTTGGGGTTTCCGATCTTGTCCGGCTGGAAGCAGGCGTTGATGGTGTCCACCTTTATAACAGCTTTGGGTTCCTTAGCCTACAGAAACGCAGCAGATACAGTGTTAAAGGGCGAGTTTGCACATTTTCAACAAATTTTGTGTATTATTTTCACCCTGTTTGTTTGTCAGCAAAAGTCTTTTGTGAAGACTACAGACTGTACTTCCACATTTCTGTATCCCCACTGACAGATAGCGTGATTGAGCTCAGTGCATTAAGGGTGTTTTTTTGCCACAACCCTTTTTCTCTGTTTTCTTTAGTAGGGTAGTAGTAAGTAAGTAAACAAATAAAATCACATCTTGCTAAAACTGAAATTAAAACCATTTTAAAAATGATGTAATGAACAGTATATGATATAACTTAATACAATCTAATCTCGATGAATAAAATCAAGGAAAGTCCTACATTATTTCCTGCTATTCTGCTTCATTCAGAAATGTCACATTACAGAAGAAATGCATTATGACTGCTCTTTCATGTTCATGTTGTTAAACACATTGTATCATAAAGATTTAAAAAGTATCAAAGTATCATAAGTGCTAATAAAATTAATAAAAACTATATAGACACAAATTAAAATGACAAAAACACAACAAAACTACTAAAATTTTAACTAATATTACACATTTAGAAAATATAAAAATAAACTCTAATCTTAACAAAAACTGTAGTAGTCTGTCAGTGATACTGCTGCATGCTTGCGCTGACACTCACGTCTAGTTTAGTGTAGTACTTTAGTGTGCCGTCCCTCAGCGACAGGATGAATCGTCTGTTGAGGAACTGTCCATTGTCCCGCCCCCTCTTCATTAGCATGCCGTCTCTCGACTCTGTGATTGGTCAAACGAGCGTGTCAATCATCAGGCAGGAAACAGAAAGTGAGTATTCTGAGATTCACACACACACACACACACACACCGTCCTCATAGATCAGCTTCTTGCCGTTCTCCATGAACTCCTGCCTCTCGTACTTCACCCGAATCCACTGCTCCTTTAGCACCCTGAAATACACACACACGCACGCACGCACACACACACACACACACACGTTTGTTTCTGTGAATTGTGGGGACTTTCCATAGACTTCCATTACTTTTATACTGACCAAACGATATTTTCTCTCTCCTAACCCTAAACCTACCCCTTACAGAAAACCTGTTTGCATTCTTACACGTTCAGATAAACATCATTTACTATTTTTATTTTATTTTTTTCCTCGAGGGGACCTCAGGCTGTCATTATACAAATTTATGTCCTCATTTGTCACAAAAACGCGCACACACTCACTCACTCTCACACACACACACACACACACACTCAAAGACAGATTTGCGTGATCTTCTGACTTTGTAAAGCCGGCCGATCAGCTAAATTAACTCAATTAAGTAGCCAGAAGTTGAAGTGACCCTGATCTCACCCTAATATAACGCCTGCCAGAGCATCTAAGAGCCTGATATGGTGATATTTCTATATGCAGCTGTGTGTTAATGTGATGTGAGATGCGGCTGGTTGCCATGGAAACTCACTGGCAGTCTCTGTGTGTGGGTTTGTAGTAGTAAACAGGAAGTGCAGCTTCATACACGGCGTTCATGGCATCATTTCCTCGCTCAGACATGAACTACAAACACAGACATCAGCAAACAGGCAGCTCTGTATGATCTGCATGTCTAAAGAGACAGCTGACACTGAAATCTCACGCTGTTTTAAACAGTGGAAGAGAAATGGTGAGTCTTCATGCAGCTCTTTTCTGTACAGTTCATCGTGAACATATAAAGTTCCAGAGAGAAATAACATGAATGTATCATAAAGGTTCATATGACTCATATGCACTATATTCTTCAGAAGTCATATGACGATTTGTTTGAGGAACAGACTGAAAATTTAATTTTGAATGAAGTTCAGCTTGACAGTCACAGAAACTATAAACTGTTTCAGTGTGGAAAAGAGCTGCTTGATTTTCCAAACTGTCTCCTTTTGTTGCTCCATGAAAAATAACACCAAACAGATCAGTGTTGTTATTGTTAACTAAAGCTAAAACTATTAGAAATCATTTTCATAATTGAAATAAAGCTGAAATAACCTATAAATATTTGATGAAACACTTTAACTTCACAATATATTTTTTTAAAAATCACAATATTGAAAAATGCTATAATAGTATTACAAAAATTTATATAAAGTTAATTACTAAAATTAAAAGTGAAATAAAAATATTAAATATATATATATTAAAAAAACTAATAAACATTAGAAAACCACATAATAAAACTACTAAAGCAAACGAAAACTGAAAACATAAAATAATAAATAAACAATAACAATCTAATATATAACATAATTGATCACACTTTCTCCTAAGGTCCAATTCTTGTGATTAACAAACCATTAACTATGACTTTTGCCTCAATAAACCCCTAATTTGCAGCTTATTAATAGTTAGTAAGGTAGTTGTTAAGTTTAGGTATAACGCTATATGAATATGAATATGCTCATACAGAATATGTGACTAATAAACAGCCAATATGTTAATAATAGGCATGCTAATAAGCAACAAGTTAATAGTGAGAACTGGTCTATATACTAAAGTGTTACCAAATAATTAATATAATAGTCAGAGCCAGACTGAATTTATGTTGCATTATTTATATTATTAGTATGTAAATGATACAAAATAACACTGATACGTGTTTTAAGGAGCAAACTAGAAAGAGTGTGATTGTTTTCTGAATAGAAATCGTAATGAGCACCTGAACTTCTGAATCCTCCCAGTGTGAGAGTCGGAGCAATTTGACTTTTCCGAGATCGGGAATACTGCGATGGACTCCGGAGCAGCTCAGACAGATGAAGACGCCTAGAGAACAGGAGCCACATTCCGGATCTGAGAGAGAGAAATAATAAATAAAACAGCTGTTAACACATGAGCTGTCAGCATTCAATTACACCGGCAGGTTTAATATCCGGGGATAAATCCTGGAGCGAGAGTCAGTAAATGCTGTAATGTTTTTGAGATCCAGATGAACGGATCATCCTGTAACTTTGAGATCACAGTGCTGTTACTGACACACAAAACTCAGACTCGAGAGCACAGACACGATTCATACAGTGACAGAATAGAAGAGATACTGAAGACCGACTCGCATCAGAATTACTGGAAAACAGCTGAAGAGCAAAAGAACTCCGACACACACCAGAAAGCAGTGAGACGAGCTTATTAAGAAACCCTGAAGCTAAAGAAACACAAACCATTAACATCCGCCTCAAGCTACAGAAACACAGCGAGGACATTCCTGCATTCCTGCATTATCTGATAAAAACAGGCCCAAAACACACAACACTGACTTACAGAGAAAATATGAGATCAAACGATAACACTTCTGCACAGTGAAGAAGATTTAGATCAGAAAACTAAATACAGATGTCATTATGTACTTTACAAATACTCCATACACTGTACCTCATTCATTTATATTAATGAAAAATATATGAGTGTCAGTTTTTGATGCTTTTGAAGTATTTGAAATCATCTTTGAAATTTTCCTTTCTAGAATTCACACAGAGATCAGTCATTAGTCAGCATTTGAGCACTGGATTTTACAGAGTTTCAACATTGCATTCAATTCTGATGAACACATTAATTTTTATTTGAATCATCACTCAGTCAGTAATTTTACCATGTATTACTTTAGAAGGCGTTTGTCTTTCAAACACTTCAACAAACACCTACCACTGAGATATTAAAATACATATTTTAATAATGAAGTATCACAATTGTATGTTCATGGTTCTCTGACTTTATGGTTATGGTCACATGCATGTAAACACATTTTTTTTCAGCAATTGTTTTATTATACCCTATTATTAATATATTAATTATATAATTATATATTAGTTTTAATTTATGTTTATGATTTGATTAATTATTAGCTTTTTGATAAAACTCATAAAGCCTTACACAATATAATGTTTAATGAACTTCAAGTTTTTGATAACAACAAATAAAATATATATGTGAAATATATAAAAATACTCTTTGTATTTCTATATCAATATGGTACAAGATTATCCTATTTAAATCAATGTGATAAAAGAGGTTAAAAGTAATGTAAAAGTAATCTAATGATTATATTATATGGATTACGTTACTAACTACATTTTTTGTTCTGAATACACTGTACGAATATTAGTGAATAATATAAATATATGCAAATCATAGCTCATGTGATAGCTTAAAGGAACAGTTCACCCAAAATGAAAATTCCCTCAAACCTGTATGACCTGATGCTGACCACAAAATATGATATTTCTGAAGAATGTTTGCAACCAGACTGTTTAGGTTTCCACTGACTTTCATTTTATACAATGAAAAAAATACAATGAAAGTCAATGGAAACTGAAACAATACAGCATCAGGTCGTACAGGTTTGGAACGACACGTACATGATGAATGTTTTTGTTGTCCTTTAAATCCTCATGACATCATGACCGCAAACTCTTGTTTACTGTAAAAACAATCAAGCTGAACATGTTCCTCGTGTGATTTAAATCAGGTAAAATCATGATATATTAAACATGACAATATGACAATAAAGCTGAACCAAAGACTTTAGATATACAAAGACGGTGCATTACTTATTAAAGGGATTAAATGTGCATTCATGCAATGATGTAATTACTGTAATTACAAGATTACGACTTGTAAAAAGCATTCACATCCTTGTAGACCTCATAAACACAATTTTGTAAACTGGGAATTTTGAGATTCCACATCTTGGAACGGTCAACACATCGTCACTTGTAGTGAAAATCGATCCCTGCATCCCAGTGCGTATCCTACATAGTATGTGAGATTAGAATAAGTGTGTCCTAAAGCATAGTATGTGTATGCCAAAAGTCCCCAGATGGTCTACTATTTCCGGCAGATTTTTGAAGTGTGGATCCGTGCACAGCTAATATTACCCACAACCCATTGCACTTTGGAGAAGGATTTGGTTAGAGGACTACAAACACGAATAAAAAGCATAAAAACTACAAACATGGAGGATGTGCGCAAACAACGGTTCATTAGAGAGGTTTAGATAAAGGGATTTGAATTACTAATAATCAACATTTCACCTGGTAAAAAATATTTATTTAATTTTATCTGTGTTATATTTCATCTGCAACAACAATGTGAACTTTCATAAACATCCGTTTGGCCATTAACTTTTAAATGCACCATTATGCAAAGAATATTTACAAGCAGCATGTAAAAACCTCAGAGATTTAAAGTAAAATTGGATAATCTTTCACAGTTGAGGATGTGTTGGTTTATTATGTTTATAAAGTCAACCTTACAGCTTTTTAAACGTTTAAATGTTGTGTTAGCTAGAGGCTTTAGTTTTTCAAAATCATCTGCTGAAGTCTATTGCACATATAGATATTCATATATGCATATAACCACAGTTGCAGATGCACAGTAGACTCGCTCTCAAGTTAGGGCTGCACGATTATGACAAAAATCATAACTGTCGATTATTCCCTTTAAATTGTAATTGCGCTTATTAGTTACGATTATCACAATTTACATTGAACCCTTAAGATAACATGTAGGGGAAAAAAAACATCTTAAGTGCGCAGAATAACATAAGTGGACGTTAAACAATTAATTGCCGCTTTGAATGATTACGTAATTGTGGCATCCGTATTTGTAATCGAGATTAGAAATTCGATTAATTGCGCAGCCCTTTCTCAAGTGTTATTATTTATGAAGTATTATGATTATCATTTAATTAATTAAAATGATTGCCAGTTTAAATAGTGACGGGATGCACGTAACTATATCCTAATGATTTTTGGCATAAAAGAAAAATCAATAATTTTGACCCATACAATGTATTGTTGGCTATTGCTACAAATATACCCCAGCGACTTAATACTGCTTTTGTGCTCCAGGGTCACAAATGACAGATGCAATTATGAGAAAGTAGTGTGTCCCAAAGCTTGCATATCTTCTGCTACATACTAAAAAGTATACACTTTTTCTTAAAGGGGTCATATGATGCTGCTAAAAAGAACATTATTTTGTGTATTTGGTGTAATGAAATGTGTTTATGCAGTTTAAGGTTCAAAACACATTATTTTCCACATATATATTTATAGGGCGTAGTATAAGTAGTTTGTTTGGGACACAGATTTGGTCTTGCATGCCTGATAATAGCTGCCCAGAGGCATTACAAATGTGGCCGCCGAGTGAACAGACTTTCCTTAAAAGGGACTTTGGCTGAAAATGCCACGATAGAACAGCTCTTTCTGTCTTTCTTCATGTGTTACAGTGGACGGTGTGGAGAAACACACTTCCTGTTTCTTCATCAGTCCCCTCGACCGCTCCCACATCCCCGTCTCTCTCTCTCTCTAGAAATATGTAGAAATCACACACAGCCACACCTTCAGTCTATATCTGACCCCGTCTCCAGCAGCAGCAGCTCCTCTCCAGACAAACTCAATCCTGAAATCTGGAATATAATTTCTAAACTCCTGAGTGAATCATTCTGAATCAGAAGGAAAATATTCTGCTGTAGAGTTCCTGAAATCAAACCCTGTCTTACATGAGTACAAACACACCATGCATATAAATAGTACGCCAAATACAAACAGAAACCCGTGCTATTGATATGCAGAAATTGACTTTGGCGTGCATATTATACGCATCTACCCCACACCCCTAATCCTACCCAATGCGTATCATATGCACGCCAATGTATAAACAGTACTCCGAATCGAAACATAAACTCGTGCTATTGATACGCACTTTCACGAGATCGGGTAACCCATCATCAGCCCGGTCTCTCCTTCACAAACTCCCGCAGTCTGTGATTACACAGGTATGTCTGGAAACGCATGCACGCGCTTCTTTTCAGATTTAAAACAGGGACTTTCCCATCTGACTTTATGAACTCTCACTATAATCGCGTATAATAAAATAAGGTTGTAATATGTTGTATGAAACATCTCAATGCCAAGTCGCCAGAGTTCGTCGTGACGCGCAGTGTTTCAGGTGAGTCAGGTGAGTTATCCTCCGCTCGCGCAGGTTCGGTTCCGGTTGATCGGTGAATGTTTGATGCGTGTAAAGAACAATAACTTACTGTCGGCGCCGCAGTCCGCGCAGCTGCCGTTCCCCGGTTTCTGCAGGACGTGTTTGAGGGTTCTGGCGGCTCGCTCGTTTTCCGTCATCGGCCCGGTGTCTCCTCAGGAGCTGCAGGAGGAGCAGGAGGAGGCGCTGGTCTGATGGAGGTGTTTCAAACATTCGGAAGTGAAGCAGCAGAGTTTGTTCAGACTTGTTCCGCATCAGAAACGCCACTGTCTGTGTGTGTGTGTGTGTATGAGTGTGTGTGTGTGTGTGTGTGCTCCAGAGCGCCATCACATCAAATACATTATAAACACTCAAACTCCCAGATTAAACATCTATTATTTACACACTACACAGATTATAAAGCAGAACTTGCATACAAAAAACGCAAATGTACTGTACACCAACTTATTTTTCAAATTATTTTTTTTACTAACTTAACATAATCACAGAATATTAACACCCAGGAAGACCAAATCTGCAGAAACTAAAAAGAAAGAAAGACAGAAAGGATTTGGTAAAACAAATGCAATTAACGTTTAATTAAATTTGTATTACTTTTTACATATTCGTTTATAATTTCCTTTCTTTTTTTTCTATCTATCTATCTATCTATCTATCTATGTGTTAATTTATTTATATTTAAACTATTTGAAGTAAATTGTCATTGGAACCCGTTTGTGGGGGAAATGGAAAGAAAAAAATGCATTTAAAACAGACTACAGTATAGACTTGATGTCATTTTGGTTACATTTAAATGGCAAATTAAACAAAAAATGCCTGACAGTTTGCTTCAACCTGAAAACTCTTATTGGAAACTTCATAAACATATACCTCACATTTATTTAGCAGATGTGAGAAACCATGATCTCAGCTTCATATAAAAATGTATATGACTTTCTATTCATGCATTCAGTGCACACTTTTATCCAAAGTGACTTACAAGAGAGGAACAATTCTTCACAAGGCCACACCAATATTCATGGAGTACAATGGCAGGTTTATTAGAAAGCAAAGGGATAGGGGGAAAAGAAAAAGTTAGAGCAGAGGTGAAAAGCAAAGATTAATTTTATGCAAAAATAAAATGCAAAGATTTTTTACACATTGATGAAGGATTTAATAATCATACATGACTTACATGTCTGGTTTCACTGTCACTATTTGTCCACATGGTGGAGGCAGATCACTGTGAATCAGTCGCTCTTCACTGAAACAGACGAGTCAAGTATCTGATCAGCGGAAATAATCATTTGTACTGATCACAACAGAGAGATACAGGAATATATGATGCTCTATGTACAGATGAATCTGCAGCAGGATTCCTCACAATTTATGAATTCAGAAGAATGTTTTGCTTTTATTATAATAGGTTCTCAGTGTGAACTTACCAAACTCTCTTCACTGAAGCTGCAGGTGGATCTGTGTGTTTGTGATCTATGGATAAGTGAGATGAGTCGTTCTGTTTAACAGCTGAACGCATCACTTCTCCTTCAGAGCATCAGTCCTCTGAGTTCAGCACAGATCTTCATCAGACTGACCGATCGCAGTGATACAGTAGATCAGATGTGCTGTGACTGTAACACTGTCTCCATGGCAACCCCAAATGATGCTGCCACAACGACCACCGAAATAGCACAAATAAATAAATAACTAAAGGAGGGAGTGCCATGCAGGCTTCTTCACGGACATTACAGCAGATCGAATGATAATTCTGTTGCTCCATTAATGTTCAATACAAACGTATATATTTTTTCTGCAATTATACATTTTAGGCGCTTTTTTTTCCGTTAAGGTATGCCTTTAGCCCCGTTGTACCCCTACTGTGTGATTAGAATTCACAGACCAAAAATTGTAAAGGCTCGTCCTGCTCTACAGATTTTACTATTCGCCTTCATGACAATCTGCAGGGATGTGGAATTCTTTAAACCAAGACGAAGAAAGTCTCGGTTCCCCTTAAAGCTCTTCCTAATTTACGTAACCATCTCTTTGAGAGTCTTTCAGGAGCTGTAACTAAAGCACTTTTCCTTTAAAGCTGCTGTGGAACATGGAAAATGGAGATTCATCAAAGACTCTATTCACACACAAATCTGCTGAAATTACATTTGATTAACTTCCAGAGACCAATGAACACGGACTGTAATGGTGCGTTTCAATTTAGCCTATATTTCCATTCATAAAAATAAATGTAAATGTATAACTCTATTTCTGACCAACATAATCAATCACTACATTTTTTCCTCTTTTGTAAAGTAATAGAAATGCTAATCTTGTCTTTTGCAATTGAAGCAAATGGAAATGCAAAAATGTTATTTTTATTTATTTAAATATATGAAGTAAATTGTCACACTGGGAACCTGTCTGTGGGGGAAAATACTATATGAAATGTATCTGTAATTAAAACATACAGTATAATGGACTATTTAATGGCTTTTGTTGAAGATAAACATTAAATTAAACAAAAATGCATGACAATTTACTACAAACTGAAAACTTGCTATATGTTTATAATGGTATTGTGGATTTTGTTCCCTTCCGAGGGAACTTCGAACTGCGTCCTCTAGGGGTTGCATTGGGGAACGCCTTCAGCGTGACCGGTGTCTGAAGCATACATCTAAACACGACAATAACATTGGCTGGCGACAGCCTGTGACGTCATCACCCGGCACAACCACAGTATAAAAGGGCGCCGGGAGAGCACGTCATCCTTTTCTTCGTCTTCCAAGGACTGTTTTGTTTGAAGCGTGCATTTCCGGTAAGAACGATTATTCTTCTTTAACATGGCGAGCACTAGTAAGGCGTTTAAGAAGTGTGTGGATCCGTTTCCTCGTTATTTGACACCTGATGACACACACAATCTTTGCGTCTTTTGTTTGGGCAAAGAGCACGCGCACGCGATTTCCTCGAGGGGGGCAGCTTGATTGCACTGAGCTTTTTTCTTTGAAAAAGCTCCGCTCTCATTTGTCTATGTTTTCGAGGTAAGAGGGACAGCCTTCGGCTCCCCGTGGTTCAGGACCCTCTGCTGCTGAGGCACGGAGGAAAATGAGCTTGTGGGGATCGCAGATGGACCTGGCTGATGAGTTGAAAAGGGTCTTTCCCTTTCGCACTCATCAGTCACAGATGAGAGTGAGCAGCTGGACGACGATGCTGTCTCTCTCACATCGTCTGATCCAACGGCTAGTGCTCTGCTGGCTCAAAGCCAGGATGAGCAGGAGATGTCAGATGAGGACGAAGAAGTCGAGACTGAGTCCTCCCAATCCTCCTGCCCCGCGTATAATGAGCTGCTTGAGGTTATGGATCGCACCACGGCAAGGCTTGACTTGCTGTGGAAGCGGGCCAAGAGAGTGACGCCTCAAGGCCGCTTCGATGAGCATTTTCTTTCTAGCCATAGCCCTCCAGCTCAGGTGAGCCTTCCATTGATCGGGAAGGCTTGTAAAAATCCATTCTCGTCCCGCATCCACAGATTCCAGCATACTAGTTATGCCAACATCGAGGGGATGCGTGAGAATGGTTATGAAAAGACGCCCCCTGTTGAAGAGACGCTGGCCTGCTATCTCTCTATGGGGGAGACATCTTCTCTTAAGGCTCCCTCCCTGCTGTCCAAACCCCTTCAGGATACATCGTTTGAATGGCAGGGCATAAGCGGCAGCAGGTCAGGCTGCAACCTCGTTGCACACCATGGCGGTGCTTCAGGCTTATCAGGCTGATCTGCTGAAAGGCCTGGATAAAGGCCAGGGTCTATCCCCTGATGATGTGGCTGAGTTGCGTCGCACCACGAATCTTGCTCTCCATGCCACTAAGCAGGCCGCCACTGCCATTGGCAGATCCATGGCGGCCATGGTGGTTAAGGAGAGACATCTGTGGGTGAATCTGGCGGATATCGGGTTGAAAGAGAAGGGCTTTCTTCTTGATGCGCCAGTTTCCCCTTCTGAGCTTTTCGGCACTTCCGTCGAGATGGTGGTCGAGAAGTTTAAGGAGGCCAAGATGCGCTCGGCTGCCTTTAAATCCTTCATTCCACGAAGGTCCAGGTCTGAGCCCGAACATCAAAGGGGTCCTGGCCCATCTCGATCTAAGGATCAAAGGCGGGCTCAGAAGACTAGTGTCGTGACTCGCGTCCCTCCCCCGCCTGCGGTTAGGGCTCATAAGGGGCATGGGTCTACGGGTGTCAGGCAAGATTTGAGGGAGGTGATCCAGACTAGGCGTTCTCAATGCTCTCGTCTGGACCAGAGTAAAACCTGAGCCACCTACTCACCCTATCCTCAAGCCAGGGTGCGCTACTCATTTCTCACCCTGAGATTTGAGTCGTTCCTTAACCATCATGCACGTTCTCTGAGCTAGAGCTCCTCTCGCTGAGGCGTTGAGGAGCTCAACGCTCCATAGACGGTCGGGCCCGCGGGTCCTCCCTTTCACACTGCCCTTATGGTTGAACCAGTAATCGCCCCTCTGCGGAGTGGGCTTGAGTACACTGCATTCCCTGAGGTAAGAGGGATTTGTGTTTCTGCGGAAATCCCTCTTGTATGCTTCTGCAGTAAGCTCTATATGCATGAATGGTTATTGGGTCCCGCTATTTCTTCAGATTCTGTCGGGTCTGGTTATACGGGATCCACGCTCTCTATCGAGATAGAGAGCATGAGACCGTGTCCAGCTGCACCAGTGGACTGTCTCTTATTGGGCCCTGCTGGGTTACCCCTTCTGGTCGAGCTGAGAAGTGCTCCCCTCACTGTGAGGGTTAGCTATGAGTCGCTCCCAGTTTGTGTTGTAAGGGTCCGCCTCAGCTTGAGAGCTGAGAGCGCTGCTCCCGAAAAACTTCATTTGCAACGAACTAAGTGTTAGGCTCGTCTCTGTCGCCTCCTTGGTCAGTTGCCTTTATGTTGGGACCCTGTTTTTCCCTTAGAAATGTGTGATCCCCTTATAGCAGGATCCCATTTCTGATGTCCATTTGTGATCTATGCTTCCCTGATAAGCTGCCTCTATTTGGGTCAAGCCAGGCAGTGCTCCCCTTACCTCAGAGGGTTGTCTTTGAGCTTGCCGCTCCTGACTGAGCGTTTGTGGACCTCTCTCTTCAAGTCCGTTCCGTATGCAACCATGGTTCCCTGAGAAGGGAACGAGACACTGTGTCCACTAGTTCCCTTGCCATGCTTCAGATGTAAGCTTGAGACGAAGAAAAGGATGACGTGCTCTCCCGGCGCCCTTTTATACTGTGGTCACGCCGGGTGATGACGT